TTTCCATGTTTGTCTCTCTCCAAGCAACAATCACTTGTTTTTTGACTGAGTGTGTAGATAAATTGGTCCTTTGGACCCACAAAACATTTCCTTCTGCGCCACACCTGCGGAGTCCTTCTTCTAAATATTACTACGTTCAATGCTATGTTAAGATTGAACCTAAACACTATCCTCTTCAATATCTCCACCCACTCTTCTGCCTCACCTTTTGGTTATCCTGTTTTCGTATAAATCATGGGTCTTAGTTAAACGACTCCCAAATATTGGAGTTCCGACTCCCATATATTTGGGACGTCGAGAGGACCGGATGCGGACGGTCCTCTCGACGTCGAACCCCCTATTTTTTTTTTCCCCCGAAAATTTGGGAGTCGGACCTCCAAAAGGTCCGATTATTTTGGGAGTCGGAACTCCAACAAAAAAAATAAAAAAAAATAAAAAAAAAGAAATCCCCCGGGGGGATTTGGGAGTCGTCGCTCCAATAAAAGGGAGTCGGCACTCCGAATAAAAAAAATAAAAAAAAAATAAAAAAAAAATATGTATATAAAAAAAAAACTTATATATATAAATAAAAAGAAAACCGTCAAAGTTAGCGAAAAAAGACCTATAAAATAAAAGGAAAATAAATCCATCAATTTATTTAAAAATTCAACCTCATTGAATAAAGGGGCCCCTTGGATAAAATCAAATCAAGTAAAAATAAAAAAGGAAAATGGCAAAAAGCCATTCCATAAAATAAAATATGGAATGCAATAAAATACAATACAATAGTATTGTAGTTTAAATTACAAAAAATAACATCACAAAACAGAAAATCAAAAGTAATTATGAGATATAAGAATCCAGGGAACCATTCTCCAATGAAAGGAGGAAAAAATGGCAAAATGACCAAATATCATCAAAAGCAGAAATCACTGCGAGTCATATTCAATTGATTGATGAATCAAGCAAAATATGAGTTTTATGTACACCACTTAGCAGTCAAAACCCACATTGAGAGAAACAGAAGGAGAGGAAACATAAGCTAGCATTGGAAACTGAGATGACACAAGACATGAAGCAAACTGAAGGAGAGGAAACATAAAGGAAAAATGGAAACAGCCGGAGGAGGAGAAGACACAAGGAGAAGGAGGGGAATCAAGAGTGGAAACATAAGCAAGAAATTTAATCTGAGAAAAAATATGGAGAAGGAGAGGAAACAAAACATGAAGAATAGAATTAGTAATGAGTGATCTCTGGGAATAAAATCTTGCGTCCAACAGTGAGGACGTGACAAGCAGAATACTTATGTTCCCATGGTAAAGCCTCGGGTATGGCTTTTTCCTTCCAATCTTTCATCATAAGTTGTGGTGCTGGAAAGTATAGAGGGTCAAACATTTCCAAGGCAACAAAGTGATTGGGGACATGAGCAATGATGATGGGTTTGTTGTCGTTGGGGGGACAGAAATAAGGGAGAAAGCTCAGAGAGCCATATCGAGAAAAGGAGAAAACGGCCGTCTGGAATGCATTGGCCATTGCTTCACCTAAAGTTGGCATCGACATCCATTTGTCAGATGAACAGGGTCCAGGCGTGTCGACCTTGAGGCTGTCCAACATCTTGTCTATTCGGTGGAAGATTCCCTTTCTGACATACCATTCCCTCCGGCTCGTGATTTCGGAAATGAGCGCCTCACGGATCCGCATGTAATCCCCCTGGTCTCGTCCCAAACACCACGCGACCGCCCGGAACCCACAGTGTCCATCCGATCTTGGGTTGAAGATGCTTTTGACCGAGTCCTTGACTATGGGTGGGAGGTACTCACGATAGCTGGATACGTCGGTGTCTTCTGGCTCGTTTTCATCATATGGTTTTTCTGGAAGCATGGCGGGTTCTTCTGTTGTGGGGGGTCCTTCTTTTTTGGCGGGGAGGCTCCCGGTTTTGATGGGTTGAATCTTCTTCTTTGGGGCTGGTCCTGCTTTGGTGGGCGGTGTTTCGGATTTATTGGTCGTGGGGGGTAACACTTGGTTGGACTTTGTGGGTGGTGATTTGAGGTTGGAAGGCGGGGGAGCTTTGACACGAGCGTTCCGAGGAGGGAGGATCCTCTTCTTTGGTTCGGGGCTGTCTTTCCTGGCCTCAGATGCCTCAAGCTCCTCCTCTTCTTCCAACGCCTTGTCTTCTTCCTTCTGTAATGCCTTCTGGTCGGCTTTTTGGAAGGCCTTCATCTCCGCTTTGATATTGTTCAGCTTCTGTTTCTTGGTTTTGACGGCTTCACTCTCTTCTTTCTTCCTCTTCTTTTCGACATGTTCAAAAGCCAACGGTTCCCTTTGGCTGGTCCTTGGTTTGTTTGTCGCTCCTTTTGGTCGTCCTCGAGTCTTCTGAGCTTCGGTCGGCAACTGGACATCTACAACCGCCCCGGATCCTTCAAGCAGCTGGTTGATGGCGTCGATTTGGATTGCCTGCTGGGCAGGATTCATGGAACGTAGCCGATCCATGATCTTCGCAATCATTGGGTTATCATGCGGGGTTGCCGTTGGGGATGGATCACGTTTGAGGACCTGAGGAAGAAATCATGTCAGAACCAAATGGAAACAGAGGGGAATATATATGAAAGCAACATACATTCATATGCCATTGGAGATGGAAATCATCCGGTGATACCGTTCCTCCCGATTGTGAGATTTCCAATAGTTGATGTTTGCAAGGTATGCCCATTCGATGGACATATTGTTGATTGCAATGCGCTTTTGGGCCCAGTTTCTTCCCTGCCGTAAGATTATTGAAGGCCTGACCGAGGGCATAATTCGTGATCTTCCCAATGCAGTGCCGGAAGATGCTGCCAAGGTATCGAAGGGTCGTGATCTTTTGCTGGAAATGGAGGCTGGTGATCTGGTGATATTGCTCTTTAATTGCATTGCTGATGAGCTGGACCACCGAGGTAAATGTTTGTTGTGGCCCAAGGAGGTGAGACTTGATGAATGCATGAGCCGATTCCATTTGCAAGGTCGTCCGGTTGTTGAAATGAGGCACAGTGCAGCATTGGAGTAGTGTTCGGCAACAGGAAACCAGGTCGAGGTGGCATATTTTTCAAATTCTGGCCCATACTTGTTGGCCCAGCGGGAGAAACTAGCTTGAAAATCCCCCCGTGTCGAAATCTTGACTATGTTCATCCAGTATTGAAGCATATCCTTTCGTTGTTCATCTTCAGCAATGAGTTTTGAGCCTTTCGCCAAGAGGTTCTTCTGAATATGCCAAACACATAGCATTTGGTGGGCGTCGGGGAACGAGGTCGCCAGGGAATTCATCAGAGCCTGCTCTCGATTGGTGATGACAACAGGGGGGAGGGGGATCTCGTTGCTTCGGAAAATGGTGACAAGGGTTTGCAGTGCCCAATCGTAGAACGTCTCCGTCTCCTCCGCCATGAAACAGAATGCGACACTGAACGTCTTGTTTGAACCGGTGATACCAGACACGTGGAGCAGAGGCATGCGGTACTTATTCGTCTTATATGTGCAGTCGAGTAGGATGATGTGGTGGTATGCCTTGAGGAGCTTCAGAGAGTCGGTGTGACAGAAAAAAAGGGCCTTGAGAGTACCTTCTTTATCTACTTTGGTGGCGGTGGTGAAGTCTGTGTTGGCCAGGGTTTTGTTCAAGTGAACAACCGGACTTATACCTTGAAGCGATTCCTGGCGAGCTTTCTTCCGGGCGGTGTAAATGGTGCTGACGGTCGCTAGTATGATCTCATTCGGGTGGGTCTTCTTCAGGGACCGGAGTATCTCGCTAGGCCTCAATCCTGCCTCGCCAAGAGCCTTCATTTCTTCATAAAGCTGTGGGGTGAGCCTCCTGTTGGCGGTGTGCGCGGACATGCTCTCGGAAGGCTCGTGATTATGAGCGGCCGTCTTCACTCAAAAAGCCCACTGGTTGACCCCCTTCTTGTGAAAATAAGCGGTCGCCTCGAATGGACATCGTATCAATCGAGTCGAGCAAGCAGTACTTTGAGTTTGACCAGGTCGCTTGTTTTGGTCTGGATGGCCACCTCTAGAATCCACAAATAGATGGTCCTAGTCAATCACCCAATCTTATATAACAAAAAATAGAGAGAGGCGGGAAATAACAGACAGCAGTAGCTTACCTGTCACATTTGAAGAGCTTGCTCTTTCCTTCAACTGTTTGCCTGAGTACAATCGCATAGCCATTATGCAATGCAAACCGCTTAACCTCGTCAATCATCAACTGTGGATCGGTGTACATTGCCGCGGGTGGAGCCGGGAAATCGTATAGCCGGCAATTTGTCTTAGGACAGATCCGGTAGTTGTCCGGGTTGAAGTTTGTCACAAAGTCGGTTCAGTCATCAACAGGTCCCTCGTGTTCCTGATTAGCATTACCCGTGGGGCCTGGGGCTGCCTCGCGTTCCTGATTAGCATTACCCGTGGGGCCGGGGGCTGCCTCATTGGTGTCTTCGCGTAAATCCGGAGTTTCCTGAACCGGGTTGAGACTCTTCAGTTGCTCTTCCAATATCTGAGCGATGGCGGCCTCGTCTTCGTCTGACTCTTCCTCGAGGATCTCGTCCAGAACATCCTTGGTGAGCTCTTCATAGATTTCATCTGCGGTCTTCTCGTCCTTCTCTTCCTCTTCATTCCCTTCAAGTTGAGGTCCTTGGGATTTCTGGGATCCACATAAGTCCTGCGTGAGTTCCAAGAGGGCAGGGTCGATACCGTCTAGATGGATTCCGGAGGATTGGATAGCCTCATCAGGTGGAGCTTGACAAGATGGGCTGGCTGGAGAAGCAGAGATCTGACTGTGAGACTGAGTCAAGTCAGTCGGGGGGGCAGTGACTGGGGTTGCTTGAGGGGAAACATCGGCGGTGGGGGAACGACCAGGTACGGAGCAGCCGGTGTCGATACCTTCCAAGCGGGGGCCTCCAGAGAACAGGATAACCTCATCTTCAGCAACGGCGAGGTTGGCATCTGGAGGTTGGGACATCACGGCAGGTCAGTCAGCAATAGCTTGACATGTGGAGACAAGACAGGAAGACGGTGGAGACAGAGGGTCAGGAATAAAAAGAATCTCACCTTGATCCTGATTTAAACCATCAGTAGGTACGCCTAACTTATCGTCCAGGGGGCCAACGACCGGATTTCCTCCACGCAACGGTAAGCCTACGAATACGTCTACCACGGCGTCTCCTTTGGGGGCTTGAGGGGCATCTGCAGGTCATGTGACAGCAGGTCAGTCAGCAAGAGCTTGACAGGTGGAGCCAGACAGAGGAGGAAGTGGGTGAGGAAAGAAATGAAACTCACCTTGAGGCTGATTTAAACCATCAGTAGGTACGCCTAACTTATTGTCCAGGGGGCCAACGACCGGATTTCCTCCACGCAACGGTAAGCCTACAAATACGTCTACCACGGTGTCTCCTTTGGGGGCTTGAGGGGCATCTTGAGGTCCTGAGTGGTCTTGGTGGGGGGCTTCAGGTCCTGAGGGGTCTTCTTGGGGGGCTGAGGTGTTTTGTTGTCCTTCATGGGGGTCTGTGGGGTCATCTCGGGGGGCTGAGGCCTTTTGAGGTCCTTCATGGGGGTCTGAGGGGTCTTCTTGGGGGGCTGAGGCCTTTTGAGGTCCTTCATGGGGGTCTGAGGGGTCTTCTTGGGGGGCTGAGGGGTCTTCTTGGGGGTCTGAGGTGCTTTGAGGTCCTTCATGGGGGTCTGTGGGGTCTTCTTGGGGGATTGAGGGGTCTTCTTGGGGGCCTGAGGGGTTTTGAGGGTCTCCTACAGGGGCTGGGTTGCTGATTGGGTGGGCTGGGAGGCCTTCTTGAGGGGCTGAGTTAGGGGTTGTGTGGGTAGGGGGGCTGTTAGACATGGTTGGGCTGTTTGGGGGGTGGTTGGGCTGTTTTGGGGGGTGGTTGGGCTGTTTTGGGGGGTTCTGGGTGGTCTGTGGGTGGTTTTAGTTGGTTAGTTGGTCTGGTGGGTGCCTGGATGCTCCTGGTACGCTTCGCTAACGGTCGGTTCGCTTCGATCGATCGATTTCGTGGTTTTCGCTAGGGAGGGGAGGGAGGGAGTCGCGGGCGCGGGTGGGAGGCAGTCGGATATCGACTGCCGTGGGCCCGAGGTAGATTATATGTATAAAGTTTTTTTTTTTTATATACATATTTTTTTTATTTTTTTTGATTTTTTTGATTCGGAGTGCCGACTCCCATTTATTGGAGCAACGACTCCCAAATCCCCCCGGGGGATTTATTTTTTTTTATTTTTTTTTATTTTTTTTGTTGGAGTTCCGACTCCCAAAATAATCGGACCTTTTAGAGGTCCGACTCCCAAATTTTCGGGGAAAAAAAAAATAGGGGGTTCGACGTCGAGAGGACCGTCCGCAGCCGGTCCTCTCGACGTCCCAAATATTTGGGAGTCGGAACTCCAATATTTGGGAGTCGTTTAACTAAGACCCAATAAATTTTGTTAGTGATTTTATATTAATTTTTAAAGTTTAAAGTGTGTTTAAACTTACAAAAAAAGGGGATTGTTGTTTAAACAATCAAAGAAATTATAACCTCACAATATTACTTGTTAAGAGGCCTAGAGTTGAGTGTTAATCAATACTCTGAATTCCAAAGGAGGAATTGAGGAAGAGTGAATTGTTTGTTAGACAATAGATCAAAAGGAGTTCGTCCAAAAAGGTCTTTTGGATGAGTTGAGGATTCCTGGGCAAGTTCTAGAGCAATACTTCTGCAACAGAAAGTAGGAAAATGGCCAATTTTAAAGGAATAAAGAGCTGGGATCTTTTAAGGGCAAAGGCTACAGGTTAAGGCTGAGGGTAGCAGTAAAAGAGGAGCTATGTTTCGTGGTTAGAATGCTAAGGTTGATAAGAGAAATGGTTGGAAATGCTGTCTTCAAGTATATAGTAGTATATATGGTGAAGCGGGTGAATTTCTGGGGTTTAAGCACTCAATAAAGGAGTCTTTATATAGCCACACACCTGAGGGTGGCTTACAGTGAATTTTTTCACAATGACACTGATGCTTTGGGCTTGTTTGGCTGGGTGGAAGCCATGCCCAAAGCCTTGGTTATCAGTATCCCAAAGGCTGAAACAGTTGTAACTGTAACCACGGGTACAGCTACCCAGTCAGGAAGTTATGATGCAATGCCAAGTTATTGCTAGGGTTCTATATACCCAAAGGAGACTTTTTGTTTTGTCTCCAATCCATTTTGGAGGGGTTTGGTTGAGGTATTCTGATAAGTACTCGCTGAGAACAGGTTAAACTACTTGGGCCAGATTGAAATGGGCCAATTCTCAACCCTGTTGATTTCAAACTGGACCAGGGTTGTTCTGGTGGATAGCTGATGTAATAGGATATTCTGAGTTCTCTCAGAAAGTTTATTAAGGTTAGGGATAAACAAAACAGTTTACATGACCAAGTGGCTGGTCAGGGTTCAGAATATGTGGTCCAAATTGGTTACTTGGTTATAGTTGCTGAACTACAAGGTTGTACATGTTGCAAATGCCTTGGAACCTTGTTTATCTTGAGTTCGCATCCAATGAACTTTGTTTATGTCATCAGCTGATTTGGTTCTGTAACTTTAAATGTCTGTAACTTTTTGGTTATTGATTATTTTACAGAATTCTTTGTTTTTTGAGTATGTAGTTACACAGTGGAATGCAACTACATGAAGTTTGTTTGTATTTTTTAAGTAAATTAAAAAGTTAATTTTTATTTTTAAAGGCCTTTGTGGTCATTTGCAGTCTTTTGACCATATACATTTTTATATGTAGATTTTGATGCTTAATATTAATTTACTATTTATAATATTTTTTCTTGGGCTAGTCTTGAGACTTGACTATGAGTTGTAATTATTATTTTTATTATTCTATATTTTGAGGCCTATGGGTATGTATATACCTCAAGGCTGACAAAATGACAGTATTATGTAGTTATATGCATGTAGTATGTACTTATATTATGTGTATTATGCACTTATAGGGTATCAAATATGCATTCACACATAATATTATATATTTTGGCCCCTCAGAACCACATGATTATGTATGTAAAACTGCTGGAGATTTCAAATTTTCTTCTATATCCTACTCAGAGGCCGGTTTTTGTTGCTTATTTTCTCAGAATTCTTGTGGAATCAGTCAATGAGGTCTGTTCCACTGATTGAAAGAGTAAAAAATAGAAAAACATTCATGGAAAAAGCCTTAAAAGTGAGATAAAATTGCCTGCTATCTCAACCATCCAACATTAGACCCTACTCATGATGGAAATTTATAAATTAAGGGTCTTAGTCAACCAACTCCCAAATATTTAGGATGTTGAGGGGACCGGCTGCGGACGGTCCCCTGGACATCAACCCCCCTAAGTTTTTTTCTCCCAGTTTTTTTGGGAGTCGGACCTCCAAAAGGTCTGACTTGTTTAGGGGCCGGACCTCAGAAGAAAATAAGAAAAAAAAGTATTCCCCCCAGGGTTTTTTGGGAGTGGATACTCCAAAAACCCCATGGGGGGTTGTGAGTTGGCAACAAAAAAAGGAAATTGACGGCTGGGATGATTCCTCTCGGCTGTCAAGAGTATACCCTATTGGCGGCAGGGAGTATACCCTCTTGGTGGCAAGGAGGATTCCTCTCGGCTGTGGAGAGGGTACACTCTCAACAACCAGAGTGTACACTCTTGGGCCATCAAGAGTGTAAAATCTCAATGGCTGGGAGGATTCCTCTTGGCTTTAGAGAGTGTACACTCTCTG